GGGTTAAAATGGTAATTTAATGTCATTCAGATAATAGTTACCAAACAACATTATTTCATTCAGCACTTAACCATTCTGACCCTCTCAACCATTCTGACCTCTTAACTATTCTGCACTAAATCATTCAGCAATTGCCAAACAGCCCCTTAGTCAACCCAATTCCAAAAAATTCAATTAACTCCATATATAATTAATACAAAATTAAATCAAACCGTATTTATTGGGTTGGAATTGTCATGTTAGCGTAATTTGAAACCAACTTGATAAACCCGATGTGTTTTTATGGTATGGTTTCGATTAAGCTCTTTGATTAATATATGTGCATTAGACTAATCCGTATATTAGTTATATCAAAGTTATATTACTATTTCAACCGTAATTTTACTTTATTATCTGTTTTTTAGAGTTGGTTAGTCGTTTGTGTGTGTTATCATTTTGATTTTACTTCTTTTAAACACAAACGTTTGATTGGATTGTGAAATGATGTATCAAAGTTTAAACCCGCAAACATTGGATTGGGTTAGGTTGGGTCGTGTTGAAATTTTCCAAACCGGAAACATTGTGTTAGACTGTTCAAATGTCTTCAACATGTCCAACCCAACTCATGTACAACCTTAATGTGAAGCCTTGTCTTCAACTCTTTTATTGCAAAAAGATTTACAAACATAATAAATCTGAAATTAAAAGTTGAAATTAAAGAAAATGACATACAAACCATGCAAACTAACTTTATCAAAGAAAACTTGTGTCACTGTTGTAGTTCAAAATATATACAACTGCACAAAAATATGAAACAATAGCATCCTTCACAACCCTATAATTTTATACAGTACGAAGAATGAATGATGAGGTGGGTCCACTCCTGTTTGGATACTAATATCTAAAGTTCAAGATGATTAATAAGTTAAAAGACTATTTATTAATGGTGAAGTTAGTAAAATTATCGTTTTTATTGATCCATTGTATATACAGAGGGGGTCTCATTTACAAACTCAACCATTGTATAAATCATACAAACATAAAATGTTGATCTTATCTAATAAATATCTAATTCAATGAATATATCAATTATTTCTTAATATAAAATGTTGATCATGATAAATGAATTCTGATAACTTTTTATAAATATACAAATTATAACAAATAAACTCTCGTCATTTCTATAAATATCTCAATTAATTGATTTGTATGATTTATACTAATAGTTGAGTATGTAAAAAATTTCTTCTCTCTCTCTCTCTCTCTCTCTCTTGCTCTCTCTCTCGTGTGTGTGTGTGTGTGTATATATATATATATATATATATATAATTCATTTGAGAACTCTAAAATATGTGAGATCCATTCTAAGTCATTAATTTAAGATAATTAATGTTATTAACCAATGAGAATATTAAGGAGATAATTATTGTTATTTATTAAATAAAAATTAATGCATTTTTAAAAATAATTTCATACTTGTATGTATCTCTCTATCTCTTATCTTCATATTAACATATACATCGTGCACACAATGTAAACAACCTTAATGAATTTTTAATAGGATGTTCACAACACAAGGTTCACATTATGTTCATAAGTGGTATAATGTTTATATTTGTTTTGCCTTCACAATATGTTCATAAATGATACCAAATCTCATAGATTTAAAGTGTGTTCATAATATGTTTATAAACTATAAAATATTTATAAAAAAAAGTTCACAGTGTGTTCACCTTGAGTTCATATTCAATTAAGTATAGAACGTGCATTTTATGGAGAAAAAATAGAAAAGAGGAGTGAGGATAGATGTTTTAATTTATATTTTTTCATCTTATTTTTTGTGATTTAAATTGGATCTCATGGATCTTACAAATTAATGAGTTCTTAAAAGAAATCCCCTATTTATATATGAGTTGAGTTCACATGAGAAGAAAAATTAAGATAAGAAATATAAGAAAGGATCTCTACCCTTAAATATACATTAGAATGAGATGTACCGAAACAATCCTCGTATCAAGAGTTATTCATGAGTGAGTTTGAAATTAAAAGTGATTAAGGATCCAAATCATTTCTTACGCTTCTCATCTTAATTCTAATTTCCATACGATCTCTCGCTATAAAGAGAACATTTTGGAAAACTTGAGACTTTAAATAATTATATGGAAAAAAAAAACACAACATGCAAAAAGACATCAAAGATAGCAAGTTTAGAAAATCTGAAACAGTAATTAAAACTCATGCTAAAAACCACATTTGAAACAACCTACAAGAGGGTTGGTATATCTAAAAAGATCAAAAGGCGATTATACCAACCACCATCTACTTATTCCCAACTGTATTAACTAAAAAGCCCTAAGATCACCTTGAAACTCTAATTTGATGTCCAAGCAGAAAGATCTAAGCTCACCATCTCCAACTCCCTCTTCCCTTCACTCTGAACTACTACACCATCTAGGCTCCTCACTAATGTCCTTTGCGAACATGCCCAAGCCATCGCAATCTACTTTCCCTAGATTTCTCTTTGATGGATGCAACTCCTACTTCTGCACTAGAAACCTCTTTCAGTATCTTGTCCACGTCCACCGTAACATCCTTATTTCAACAACTTTTATCATGCATCTTCTTTATGGCCCAACACTAGGATCCATACAAAATAGTGGTCATCATGTAGATTTTGCCCTTTCGTTTTAACTAAACCCTCTTGTTGCACAACACTACTTGATCGCTCTTCATTATAACCATCTTACCTTTAATTGGTATCTGACATTGACCTCGACTTCTAAATCATGGATCCACGTCTCCTTCTAATTCCACCACAAGCAAATGATTAATGCATATCCATATTTCATCTCACCCATCGAAGTCCAACTCAAGTACTTGGCCACAAGTACATATCCTTGATTGCCCTTCACATATCTCCATGGTACCTCTATCCTCCAGGCACCTCCAAAATCACGTTACAAGACATGCCATCATAGACCTTCTTGAAGTATGTAACACCAAGCATAGATCCATACTACAATAGCTATAATTTTTTTAACTTTAAATCTGAAAAATCTTGCTATTGAAACTTTGAACAAGAAAAACTATATACATTATCAACTGAGATTTTGTTTATTCATATGCATTTTCCATGGATCTTGCTCAATGGATTATAACACTAAGAAGATACCTACTTGAAGTTGTCCATTTGAATAGTCTTGCAGTTGGTCCATTCTGTTACTTCAATCTCTTATAAGTATTTGTTGGACCTATTTATCCTCTCTCCCAAGGATGGAAGCTCAACTTGAGAGATGGTATAGCTTCCAACTCATTCCATATTAGGCTTCCATATATGAACAATGATAATAGGCATCCATGATAAGAGCAATGGCAAACTACAGTTTACTAAGATCCTCAACATATGAAGCTTTTCTAGCAATTGTCTTTGGGTTGTTCAGCATTTCTATCGCCAAAAAGTTTCGAAACTCTCCCTGCTTGGTTCACTTGTTTTCCCTTTCTATCTTGTTCCTTGCTGCAGGTTTGCTTTCGGTATCCCTCCTTTGGTTCATCCTTTCATTATGGCTGCAGGACTTTCATTGCTGCAATCTTTGCTGGTTTTTAGCAATCTTTAACTTTCCTAGTCTTATACCCCACCCACAAGCAACTTCCACCTCCATACAGAAACAAGAGTCTCCCACTTAAGGATTTCAGTTAAGATTAACGACATCATAACAACAGATTTGCTAACAACTTCTAGAAGCATGTTCAGCTTTCACTTACCAAGACTACCAACCAAATAAGATTGGCCTATTAGTTACTACCCTTTGCAGAACCTTCTGTAAAAAACAATATCAATGCCTTTTTGGAATGCAAATCCTTTATGATATCTTATTGAGGGCTGCCTCTTGAATACCATGTCTCAAATCTCTTTGGAAGCTTCTTTTTACCAGCTAAAAAAAACAATTAGTCCTTAGTCATAACATTATGCTTCCCTACTCCTTATAATCCTTTAGCTACAACGATCAAAGATTTAAAGCATTGGAGTGATACTACTAGAAATGTTTCTGAGTAAAAAGCAATGCACAAAATAGCATACTAACTAGAAAACACAGCCTAGTCAAGTAGGCAAAAACCAATAAACAACAATATAAGATGTACCCAATCCACACATTGAAGACCAGTATTCTTGTAATCGACCCTGTTTCCAAAAAGTATATAGGATTAAAGAACCACCAATTGAATATGATTTACAACAAAAACCCAATCCAATCCAGCAAACATACAAGGTAAATCTTTTCCAGAAGAAAATCTCAAATTATGACCACAAGCAATGTCACATAATCATCAAAAACAGAAACATGCAACTCACACTTGTGACTCGCCCCAACAAGATATCTCAATTCATAAAATCAATATGAACCATCAAAGAAAGAATTGAAACCTTCTTGCTTGGTATTCAACCAAGAAATCCTAAAGAAACATGTATTAATGAATCATAAGCAAATTGGTTTAACTAAATATTTAAGCTTTAGAGTTCATGAATTATTAAAACCACCAAGCATTTGCTACTAGGCCAAAATAAATTTCTACTTTCGCATCGATGGTCATCTAAACTTTCGCTCAAAAGACTACCAAAATTAATCCGGGGATGTGCACACATAATTCTAAGGTAAAATCTTTAACCAATGCAATTTGAAGGTAAGCATATAGATTAGACCTAATCATTAATACAAAACATTAGAGCACATAAAAAACCTAACCGAACGCAGATTTATCAGATTATGACGATTAAAAACGTAAACAGATAACGACTGGCATTAGATATAATTGTGAATTCGTAGGCATTTGTCAATTAAACCAGATATTAAAACCTAAAATTCCAGAATTATCTATATGCTCCACCCAGTCATGACGATTAAAAAATAAACAGCCACGTAGTAAGCAATCACTGCAGACAACTAAGATTTCTTGATATGTTGATAACAAAAAACTTCCAATTTCAAATCAAAAATCCTAAAATTCAGGCTTAACACAAAATAACAACAAAAATCCAAGATTATAATCCATAACTCAGAAAGGACAACTGAAACATATCTAATTTACTCAACCTTAAGCCTTCTGGTAAACATATGTGAGACCACACTTGCCGCAATAGTGCCTATCGAAATGATTCGCCATGAAAGTCCCCGCACCACACTCAGCATTAGGACACTCTTTTCTCAGCCGCTGCACCTTCCCGGAATCATCGACTTTGTAGAACTGCAACACACTCAACTTCACCTTCTTGTGCTTATGCTTGATCTTCTTCGGCTTAGTGTAGGTCTTCTTCTTGCGCTTCTTCGCGCCACCACGAAGACGRAGAACCAGGTGGAGAGTCGATTCCTTCTGGATGTTGTAGTCAGCAAGGGTTCTGCCGTCCTCAAGCTGTTTTCCGGCAAAAATGAGACGTTGTTGGTCCGGTGGGATGCCTTCCTTGTCTTGGATCTTGGCCTTCACATTGTCGATCGTRTCGGAGGATTCAACCTCCAACGTAATCGTCTTACCCGTTAGGGTTTTCACGAAGATCTGCATTTTCGCCAAACTGACTTGATACGGCCGATTAGGGTTCGTAGGAAAAATGGAAGTTGAGAGCTTTTATAGGAATAACAAATAAGCGGAAACCAAATTGGGCCTTTAATGGGCCATTCAAAAAGCCTTGATGTTTATTTTGGGCTTTTATGTTCGAAATCAACAGGCTCAATAAGGTTAAATTTTAGCCCAATAGGAAAACGACGACGTACCGTCGTTATCAAGATATTTCCACCATCATCTTGGATGCCTGTAAGTGAATGTGGGTATCATTTCTAATTTGAATGGAAATCATAGGTTTTCTGGTAGCTATGTGCTAAAGATTAGTTGAAATAACAAGAGAAGACTGGTGGTAACATCATTCTTTGGTGTCATTTACCAAACGTTTATCCGGGTAAACGTTTACTAAATCACTTTACTTTACCGGATGAATATAGCAAAAACTAAAAATCTTACCAGGTAAAAGCGAAGGCAAAAATCGAGAGTCTTACCCGGTAAGTAAGGACGAGAACTCTTACCATGGTTTACGTTTACCATTATAAATTGTCGCATATAATGCGTTTTAGTGAATATAATCTTACCCGTTAATTAAGCGATATTGTTGAATTTTACCGGTATGTGCTTACCGGATAAATGTTTAGGTAAACGGTCCCTTCATTCCATATTTCATCTCACACATCGAAGTCCAACTCAAATATTTCCATGGCACCTCCAAATCACGTCATAAGACACGTTATCATAGACCTTATAAAACCAAACATAGATCCGTAGTACAATCTCTATAAAAATCTCATAAATCTTGCTACTGAAACTTTGAACAAGAAAAAATATATACATTATCAACTGCAAATTTGTTTATTCGTATGCATTTGCCATGTATCTTACTCAATGGATTACACCACTACGAGGGCATTTGATTCGCAAATTCTGAAGGAATCTGATGAAATTATAATGTTGAATTTCATTGACCTTGTTTGACTCATTTTTTTTTCTTCACGAAATAAATCTTCAAAATCCTACAAATTCCACAAACAAATGAATTTGACATTTCTTAACAGCTACATGGTATTTTGATGGAATCAAGTCCTTTATTTTTCATAATATCAAATATGTCATTAACTCAATATATCCTAGTCTCGTAAAACCCAATATGACCACCACCGACCATCACCGCCATTTGAATCACTGCGGACCACCACCAATCTGTACCACCATGGACCACCACCCATCTGAAACACCGTCAACCACCATTGATTTCGTATCGTCGTTTGGCTTATGGTTATATTTGGGTTGCATATTTTATATTGTTTTACATATTAAATAATTATTTTATTAAACTATTTTTAGTTTTAAAAAAATTAAAATTAAAAAAAAAACATTTTGGTCATTTACCAATATTTCATTTCAATTCCAAAGATACATTATGTGAACCAAACATATAAATTCCAATTCATTTAACAGATTTCATTACAATGTCCACCAACAAAAAACATGGTAAAACCTTGCAACATTTCATTCCAATTTCTTCAAAGTTAAATTTATTTAACAAATTCCATTTCATCCAAAAACATTTTGCAAACAAACGCCACCAAAGAAAATACCTACATGAAGTTTTGTCCATTTGAATAGTCTTGCAATTGGTCCATGTAACATGTTGTTACTTCAATTTTTTAGAAGTACTTGTTGGACCTATTTCTCCTTTCCTTCCAAGAATGGAAGCTCAACTTGAGAGATGGTATATCTTCCAATCCATTCCTTATTAGGCATCCATGATAATATGCAATGACAAACTACAGTTTATCAAGATCCTCAACATATGAAGCTTTTCTAGCAATTGTTTTTTTGGTTGTTCAGCATTTCTATCTCCAAAAGTTTCGAAACTCTCTTTGCTTGGTTCACTTGGTTTTCCCTTTCTATCTTGTTCCTTGCTGCAGGTTTGCTTTTGGTATCCCTCCTTTGGTTCATCCTTTCATTATGGCTGCAGGATTTCCATTGTTGCCATCTTTGCTGGGTCTCAGCCATCTTTAACTTTTCGAGTTTTATAACCCCACCCAGGCACCCACTGAGTACCCTGCCCGCGGACCTGTGATCACTCCGCTAAGAAACTTCCACCTCCATACAGAAACAAGAGTCTCCCACTTAAGAATTTCAGTTAAGATTAAGGACATCATAATAACAGACTTGCTAACAACTTCTAGAAGCATGTTCAGCTTTCACTCACCAAGACTACCAACCAAATAAAATTGGCTTATTAGTTACTACCCTTTGCAGAACCTTCTGTAAAAACTAATATCATCAATATGCCCTTTTTAGAATGCAAATCCTTTATTTCTGGGTAAAAAGCAATGCACAAAATAACATACCAACTAGAAAACACAGCCTAGCCAATAAACAACAACCTTGAAGACCAGTATTCTTGTAATTGACCCTGTTTCCATTAGCTATATAGGATTAAAGAACCACCAAATGAATATGATTTACAACAAAAACCCAATCCAATCCATCATACATGCAAGGAAATCTTTTGCAGGGAGAAGAACTCAAATGATGACCATAAGCGATGTCACATAATCATCGAAAACAGAAACATGCAATACACATTTGTGACTCGTCCCAACAAGATATCTCGATTGCAACCTGCTCGCTATGTATCCAACCAAGTAATCCCAAGGAAACTACATGTATTAATGAATCATAAGCAAATTGGCTATCTAAATATTTAAGTTTTAGAGTTCATACATTATTGAAACCACCAAGCATTTGCTACTAGACCAAAATAAATTTCTACTCCGGATAGATGGTCATCTAAACTTTCGCTGTTAAATGGCATACACAGTCAACATATACCAGAATCCCCTTTTCAAAGCTTTGGCATCTATAACTACCAATCAAGAGACTAGCAATGCACACATAATTCTAAGGTAAAATCTTTAACCAGTGCAATTAGAAGGTAAGCATATAGATTAGACCAAATCAATAATACAAAACAATAGAACACATAAAAAAACCTAAACGATCGTAAATTTATCAGACTACGACGATTAAGAAACCAAACAGATAACGACGAGCATTAGATATAATTGGGAATTCGTAAGCATTTGTCAATTTAACCAAATATTAGAACCTAAAATTCCAGAATTATCTATATGTTTCACCCAGTCATGACGATTAAAATAAACAGCCACGTAGTAAGCAGATCACTGTAGACAACCAAGAATTCTTGATATGTTGATAACGAAAAACTTCCAATTTCAACTCAAAACAATCCTAAAATCCAGGCTTAACACAAAATAACAATAAAAATCCAAGATTATAATCCATAACTTAGAAAGGACAACTGAAACATATCTAWWTTACTCAACCTTAAGCCTTCTGGTAAACATATGTGAGACCACACTTGCCGCAATAGTGCCTATCGAAATGATTCGCCATGAAAGTCCCCGCACCACACTCAGCATTAGGACACTCTTTTCTCAGCCGCTGCACCTTCCCGGAATCATCGACTTTGTAGAACTGCAACACACTCAACTTCACCTTCTTGTGCTTGTGCTTGATCTTCTTCGGCTTAGTGTAGGTCTTCTTCTTGCGCTTCTTCGCGCCACCACGAAGACGRAGAACCAGGTGGAGAGTCGATTCCTTCTGGATGTTGTAGTCAGCAAGGGTTCTGCCGTCCTCAAGCTGTTTTCCGGCAAAAATGAGACGTTGTTGGTCCGGTGGGATGCCTTCCTTGTCTTGGATCTTGGCCTTCACATTGTCGATCGTRTCGGAGGATTCAACCTCCAACGTAATCGTCTTACCCGTAAGGGTTTTCACGAAGATCTGCATTTTCACCAAACTGAATTGATACGGCCGATTAGGGTTTGGAGGAAAAATCGGAAGTTGAGAGCTTTTATAGGAATTACAAATAAGGGGAAACCAAATTGGGCCTTTAATGGACCATTCAATAAACCTTGATGTTTTTGTTTTGGGCTTTTGTGGTCGAAATCAACAAGCTCAAGGTTAAATTTGAGCCCAATTGAAAACGACGACGTACCGTCGTTATCAAGATATTTCCACCATCGTCTTGGATGCCTGTAAATCTCCCTCGTCTTTTTCATCTGCAAATAAACGAACCACCATTAATCAACCCCTGTAAATCTCCTCTCTGATCGAAATGGCGATTTTTGCATCTGTTCCAAACCCTAATCTCTTCTCCTCTCTCCCCACACCGCCACCACAACCACCTAACAACAACCCCTCCACCATTAAACCCCCAATTCCAATTCCAAAATACCCACCACTTCATAAATCCCAAAACCAACCACCACCAAAACCTCAATCCAGCCCCGCCTTCAAAACCTTCCACCGCCGCTCCAAATACTACAAACCTGTCAGGGACGGTGACGTCGTTTCCTCGGACGGCGACCGTTCTGTCGTTGTTGGTGAATCTGGCGTATCCTACCAGCTCCCTGGTGCACCATTCGAGTTCCAGTACAGTTACTCCGAGATACCCCGAGCCAAGCCAATTGCCATTCGTGAGCCGGCTTTCCTCCCCTTCGCGCCGCCGACTATGCCAAGGCCGTGGACAGGTAAGGCGCCGTTGAAGAAATCAACCAGGAAGATAAAGCTCTTCGAGTCACTGAATCCGAGTACCAATGCGAAGCAATTGGAAATGCTGAAGCCATATGAGCTTGGGAATTTTGAGGTGAAGCCGAGGGAGGAAGTGCTTGGGAAGCCATTGAGTAGAGCAGAGAGACAAGAGCTTGTTAAGCGTCACGTTTCTAGTAATCGGCAGGTCAATCTTGGTAAGTTATGATATACCTATAAACAAATTGTTTATTTGATTCTTTCCTTAGTGAAACAGATTGTGTTTTTAACTTAGAAACTGGGTTTTGTAGGAAGGGATGGATTGACACATAATATGTTGGAATTGATACACTCCCATTGGAGGAGGGATCCTGTTTGCAAAGTTCGATGCCTTGGAGTTCCCACTGTCGATATGAAAAACCTTTATCGTGTTCTTCAGGTTCTTTAACTCAATTTAACCAACCCATTTTAGGAGTTCCACGTATCATCATGATTTCAGGATCCTTGAATCAATTTAAGTACACCATTGTCATATCTTCATTTTACATCATGTTTGTTGGTTCTTTAAGTAGATGTGAACCAGTTTTAGATTGTCAGTTTTCTTTGGGATTAGATTCTTTAAGTGGATTCAAGTGAACCCTTTTGGTAGAATGTGGGTATCATTTCTAATTTGAATGGAAATCATAGGTTTTTTGGTAGCTATGTGCTAAAGATTAGTTGAAATAACAGGAGAAGACTGGTGGTAAGATCATTCTTCGAACTGGTGGTGTGTTTTATCTTTTTCGTGGTAGACACTATGATCCTCATAATCGTCCACAATATCCTGTGATGCTATGGAAACCGGCAACTCCAGTTTACCCTAAGCTCATACAAGAAGCACCGGAAGGGTTGACTAAAGAAGAAGCCGATGAGTTGAGAACAAAAGGGAAAAATCTTCCCCCAATTTGTAAGCTAGGTAAGGTTTTTACAGTTAGAATTACATATCTGCCCTTTGTCATCATTATAGGCCATTGTTGGTATTGATTTTGGTCCAAATTGCAGGTTATTTTCGGCAATTTGACTAATTAGTTAAACGTTTTTTAATCAAACTACGAATAGAATGATAGAATTGAATGTTCGCTATTTCACAGAACACCTCTGTGGTGTTTCCCTTTACACATGAAAGATCAATCATATGTGTTTTTGGTGGATTTAAGTCAAGATGCTGCTAATGCTTGATTTTGCACTTCATAGTTGGAATTCCTTTTTCTCTCTTGGTTTTAGTCGATTAATGGTCCATCTAACAGCGAAAAATGGAGTGTACATGACCCTGGTTAAAGATGTAAGACAAGCTTTTGAAGAGTCTTCGCTGGTGAAGATTGATTGTAGAGGGATGCATGCAAGTGATTACAAGAAGATTGGTGCTAAGTTAAAGGTTCGAGAATCGTTTCTCATTTTGATTTAATCTATTGCAAAACCGGTCACTAGTAAATTGTTTGATATTTGTTCACCTAGCCCCGCTACTTAGTAAAGGCGGCCCATGTTATATTCTACAAAAGGGGTATGACGCGACCTTTTGGAGCCCCCGCACTGTACTGGTCCCATGGCCATCATGGAGGAGGTAGTTTGTGTGTCCCAGGGACAGGTGGGTGCTGATTATAGTCTAATCCCAGACCCATACTCCTCTTGTGCTAGGCTAAAGCTACAGGGACCTCGTGTTATATTGTCACCACGCCAAATAGGCGTTTGCAGTTTCATTTACTTTTGTTTGTGATGGAACTAAATGGATCATGTTATCTCTAGGAATTGGTCCCTTGTGTGTTGCTATCGTTTGATGATGAACAAATCTTGATTTGGAGAGGTCAAGGTTGGAAGTCTATGTACCATGGTGCACCTATATTTTCGACCCCTACTTTTGACAACATTGCAAACAAACCTAGTTCAGGTAAGTACAATCCTAGTTTCTTTTCCCTCGAGTTTCTTTACGGAAAACATCGTTCTACCCATTGGGTTGGAGGCCAGGGTGCATCTTACCCCCCCCCCCC